CGCCCGCCCCGGCCGTGTGTGTGCGCGCGCGCACCCAGCGGACTCGGAGACAGCCCCAGGCGCGGGCAGGGTCGGTGCGCGTCAACTCTCTCTGCGGCATCTGTGCGACCCAGCACCCACCCCTCTTAGCCCCGGGGTTGTATCAGTAACCGGGATGTTACCCCACCCTCGTTTTGTTTTATCCTTGGCTGCAGCGTTGGTGAAGATGAACAGCTCCTCTCTGAGCTCATTCCCCACAACGGTCTGAACCATCAGCTTCTAAACGGACATGTGCAGGTGCCTGTTTCATTTGAAGACTCTAGTTGTTGAATCCTTCCTCCAGCCCTCACCTCATTCACAAGCCATCCTTCCTCAATCAATGAGGGGGGCGGGGGGGAAGGAGACAACTCAATATTTGCAAAACATTGAGCCAACATCTCCTGCTTCCGTAAATTATCCTCACATTTTCCAGGTCAGTGTAAAGTAGCCGAGGCGCTCCAATGCCCCAGCTGTGTACTCATCTGATATTATCGGTCCTCCCTGCTGGTACAGTCGGAGCCTGATAAGGCAGCAGGCTTTCCATTCTCTTTAGAGGGCTCTCACCAACTAGTTAGAATTCCTTTGAAAGGTAGAAAACTGAATGGATTCCATGTCTGTATGGCCATCCCTTCTACACCAAACCTCTCTCTCTTCCTTTGGGATGAGGGGTGGAGGGGGCCTCATGAACGTCACTGGTAGACCCTCAAGCAAACCTTTTAGCAGCCTGAACTCAGAAATTTAATCTTCTGATAGAATGCTGTTCTTTCTGGAAGATGTATGTGTGCATGCAGACCATTATTTAATGTATCTTTTTTCTTTTTTAAAAAAATAATTATTTTGTTTAACTTTATTTATTTACTTTTTTAAAAAATTTGACCAGAGAGGGACAGAAGGAAAGTGAGAAAGCAAGTTGCCAGATCCAGGATTCGAACCATGGTGCGGCACATGGGTGTCCAGTGTCCCTGGCCACCACACCACCTGCTGGCCCCTATCTGATGTATCTTGTAGCCTCAGTTTCTCTCCATTTTGAAGTGTAAGAAAAATGAAGAAATCAGGGTGAGCCACGGCCTTGCTGGTTGTTGACCCTCAGCTCCTACTGCAGCCTGCACTTTTCCCTCAAAATACAGGGACTCTTCTGTGTCTTCTGAGCTAGGTTGGAAACTCTGCAGAGCAAGAGTTGTGCATGCTCTCTGGTTCTTCATATTTGCTGTGTCTAGCAGAACCCTGGGCCATCCTAGCTCCTCAATTTGTATTTAAATGAAAGAAGAGTGCTTATCTAGGTCTTGCCGGGTTGTTGATGCTGCAGGAAAATACACAATCTTTAACATCTGTAACATATTTATGAATAGGTGACAACTTACCATTATACAGTTACTGCTTTTTCTCACATAGAGAGAACTGAAATGCACAGAACAATTTTATTAGTAAAGAAGAAAGGGACTGACTAGGTGTGTATTTGTTTCTTCTATCTGTAGCGGGTGCTTCTTGCAGAATGTTGTGAATCTAAGCTAATCAAACAATATCCAATTGAAAATTGTTTATACTAGCCAAGAGACATGTCGCAATTTGTTCATTTGAACGGTAAGTGACTTAAGATTTTATAAGCCCTACAGTAATATTTTTAAGATGAAAAAAGGAAAAAAAGACCTAACAAATGCATTCAATTATAATATATTAATCTCATAAAAATAGACAAAATTTCTAAGATCTTCTCTAAAACTCTCCAGGGAATAGTCACACATAAAATTTAAAACTAATTTTAAAATATCTGGGCATTTTCCTAATTATCACTTCAGAATGACATTGTATAGGTATATTCTGCATTAAGCAGCAATGAAACAAAATTTAATAGATAATCGAGAATTAGCTATATGGGGCTCCGGCAGGTGCTGTGGTGGTTAAGGGCACTGGACTCCCACATGGCCAGCTGTGCTTCGAGTCCCAGACCTGTAGGCTTGCTTTCTCACTTTACCTCTCTCTCTCACACACACATACTCTATCCCTCTCTGGTCAAATTTTTAAAAATAGATAAAGTTAATCATTTTTTCAAAGAATTAGCTATATGGATCAGGCTGTGGTGTGATGGCTTATGGTGGCTGGATCCCACAGTGTGATTTGAGTCCCAAACCTAGTGGCTTGAAAAATATGCCAGGCATAAGTGTGAGCATGACCAAAATCCCAAAAGGGGGGAGAAATGGAGGAGAAGAAATTGCAGTGTGACCATTCCCCATGGGAGGTGATTT